CTCCTGTATCCTTACCCTCATCTTTCTGATCTTCGCCCTCCTTGTGGTGCAGGTGATCAAGCACGCGCCTCGGAAACGGTAGCGAGAGGCAGGGATGGGGGTTGAATGGGAAAAGGGATGGAGAGGGTTGTATGATACAAGGGCCGGGGAAGGATCAGGAACAGCGGACGGTGTATGATAGAGAGGGGCTTTTGATGTGTGCGCGTCTAAGTGGCCGCTGCCAAGAAGGAAAGGAAAGAGGGGGTGAGACGCCCCTCTCATCGGCTTCCAATCACCGAACGAGCCCTCCCTCAAGCCTCCTGCTCACACGAAGAAACCTGGGAGTTACCATGCTTGATTTGCTTTCTGGTTCAGGCGTTTGTCTGGGAGGCGAACACGATGCGGTTGCCTGACGCACACGCATGCGTGGTCAAGGGAGTCTGTTTTCCTCCTCAGCTTCTTTTCTTCTCTACTCCCCCTATCCGTACGTCACTTCCCAAATTTCAGCAAAGCCAATGCCCGTTCCAACGCCTCCTCTTGACTTGTCTCGTCCCTCCCTCCCCCTCCTCCCCTCTCTCTTCCTCCTCCCCCACCAAAAGAAATCCATTGCCCCTGCCGCACCGAGATCCGCCCTGCGTCGCGCAACACCTCCTTCCCCCTCTCCTGTTCAATCTCTCGCCTCTCCGCGGGCGCCAAGGCGTTCAAGACGCTGTCCATGGTCAGCCTCTCCAGGCGCGCCCGCATCATTTCCACCTTCTCGGCCGGCACCCCGTGCAGGTTGCCATACCGACCTTCAGCGCGCACGAATTCCACTTTAACCCCTAGATGGATGGCGTGCCGCACGTATTCCCGAGGCTCCCAAGCTTCGATGTTCGTGTTGTCGACGACCACGCTCCGGCCTTCGTCCAGGAAGGCCTTGGCCCGGGCTGGATGAGGGAGGGAGGGAGGGAGGGAGAGAGGGAGGGAGGGGAGATGACTGGGTGAACGAAGGGAGGGCAGGAGCACTGCTCGAACGACCTCTTCCTCCTCCTTTTCCCTCTCCTTCTCCTCTGTTCCTTGTCTCCCCCTCCCTTCTGCCCCTCCTCCCTCCCACCCCGCCTTACCCAGATTTTGGGCATGGTTCTCTCTCAATTTGCTTGCCTCCCAGGCGTACTCGCCCGTGTGCGTCAAGGAAAACGTGTCCGTGGAGCATATCACCATGTCTCCCGGGGGTCGCTCCGCCCGTTCGATCAAGGCGCGGGCCAAAGTGGTCTTGCCTGACCCCGGGGGGCCTTGCATGACGACAAGGAGCTGGTGGCTTCGG